TAATCATATCCATGGTTTGGGCATATTAACCCCTTTCCTCAGGGTTTGATTTTGTCTGGGACACCCTGTGTAATATGAATAATAATGACGGAAGTACAAGTCCAAGAGGGTTCCCACCCATCACAATGTATTAGTCAGAAGATTATGATACTCATTCCCTACCCGTACACACACAAAAAGGGGCTCGTTTCATTTTAAGTTTGAAAAGATGCTCACTCCTTCCAGCATGGATTTACATGTATAACATGTACCCATCCTAGGCCACATCATTTTGAATCACCATTGATCCTTTGAACCTCTTATGTGAATCGCACGCCTGGCACTTGGAAAGGAATGCAAACCCTCTTCGACTTGTACGTCATTGTTATTCATAGAATTCACATAATATTTCATATTTTATATTCATCTAGTTTTTGAATTATCAACACTCGCGAAAGCTTTGGACTTGACATCTTGCCCCAAATCACAAGAACAGCGCCACCTGTCACTTAATTGAAATTATCCTCGCAGCGGCTGGTGTTCGGTACTACATGTACTAGTACTGTGTTCATAAAGGAGTTTCGACAACATCCGCCTTCCGAAATCAAGCGTGGAAAGTGCAATATACGCTCTGGCGTCGTCAACGTCGCATTGCTCAAACTTCGTCATCAAATGAGTAAATGAAAGGTCCATACTGTCGGTGTAAGGGATCACAAAATGGAAGACAAAGACAGTTTATCACCTCCAAGTGAGAAAAAAAACGTTTGCAAGCGTTTTTTTTTCAAGTGTGTGCAAGTTAATCTCAGATTATTGTGTTTATATAGGCTATAACTGTTCGGCCTGATAACAGAAGGTTGTTTTGCTCTCGTTGTGGTAAAGGAACTCCCCTCTACTATTCTTTGGTCAATATGACAAATTCAGTTCACTGAAATTTGTATTTAATGGACCGATTCCAATTTTTACAACTGCGGGAAAAATCTATCTGTTGAAGATCAAGTTTTATTTAAAACTCGGCCCAGTCCCATTCGCATCATATTTTGAAGTTCCATACTCTTTTTAATTCCCCAAAATCTACATCTGGGTCATTGGAAAAATACTAGTAAAAAGTTTAGGTCTACTATTTTGGATCCGGCGGTCATCGATCGCAAACACTTTCGGCATATAACTGGCACCCATTATGTGAACAAAATAAAAGGGCTGTCCCCTCTTTTGAAAAAAAAAACCCCGGATGTTTTACTTTGATATTCGAACGAGCACCTTATAGTTTTGGCTCTTGACGCCCTAGTCGACTGCAGTCTTTCAAGAAGAGCTGCTTTATTTTTTCCATGCTCTATCCATGGAGGAAGGACACTTCCGAGTCCATTTCATGTGCCATGCCATCGCCAGCTGGTTGGTCTTCCCATAGAGCTACAACCCAGCTCTATGGTCTTCCATTCAGGATCTGACGGTGTCCAAATAGACTCTTTTGTGGCTACAGCCGCGTTTCTTTCCATGAACTTACTATGCGATGGGCAGCTGAAGCCGCAAACAGTGATACCCATTTAGGGCAAGGCTGTAGTCTTAGTTCGAGATATTTGACTGACATCACACTCAACGAACAATGCAAGAGGGCGCTACATGTACATGTACGTGTAACACGTAAAAATTTCGGTTGATAGGTGCTTAGTGTATCAAAAATACAATAGCGTCTTGAATGAAGGCTAGGCTAACGTGAGTTCGTACCGGGTACGCGTCGCATAACGCACTCTCTTGCTTACACTCGGCCAACGTACGTACGTACGTATGCTCTCGGCCTGTTGTATTGCACGCTCGCGAGCTCGAAAGAGCTGTCGAATTTCGTCCACATTTGTGGTCGATTCTCTCGGTCTCTGATGACGATCTTGCCGTGTAACTTATCAGCATCTGCATGTGACTGTGTGAGCTTTCAGCTGTTGGTCTTCACTTTTGAAACAGTGAGTATTTCGTGTCGAAATACCTCTTGAATTTAGGTAGAAATTTCGGTTCCCGGTTCGTCCGTGTACGCACATTGTAGACAGTGTCGTCATATTGTGACTTCCATACGGGAAAGACGTGACTGGTTACGGCATTTGCCGCATAGATACTTCCGGCTAAATTGTGGTTTGCACCATGGATTGCCACACATGGTGGTGCAGCCCACAGACATGGAAAACCGGATCTGCAGTGCCATTTTTAATCTTTTGTTGCTATGTCACTGTCAGAAACCTTCATTTGAGAAGTTGTTCTGAACGCAGTATTGCATTTCAAATTTTGTGCATTTACAGTCACCAACACAGGACATGTGCATGCGGTACACTAGACTGTGAACAAGTACAAGTAGGCCTAAGTCTAGACTTAAGTTCCCCGTACAACTAAAAATTCTGACTTGAACAGTGTGGAAGAACAAATGAACCGGTGTCAGAGATCAGTTAGATAGCCTACTTCAAATCTACAATTAGCCTACGGTGGAACATTATCCGAGCCTGCTGTCCTTTGAAAGGCCAATTTCCCAGTTGTGACAAAACATTTGGAAAAATTCCATATCCAGCCACTATCTGACTATAAATCAAGTTTTATTAATTAATACAACAAAGGGTAAGTGGTAAGAGTTTCATGTACGCTCATGACTAATTTTTCCCTGTTGTGTCTCTGTCACATCTGTCAGCCAGTAGAAAGTGATAACATATTATGAAAAAATGTAAAATTTAGCAGGGAAAGTAAAGTGGACACGGGGTTCCAGCCACCGGCTGCGGAATGGGATGGCCGGACGGCCATTGTCCCCCCTTCCACCCGTGAAAAGGTCGTTATTTTGCCACCCCACCCCCCATATTATAGACCTAATGATGAGGGCTTGTTCCATTGCTGTTGGTTCCAGCCCACAAATTTCAAATTCTACTCTGAGTATAATACAAAAATGTGTACATGTACGTTGATCTGACAAGTTGGGTCCCCATCTAGCCCAGTTTGGAGGTCCGTCTGTAAAGTAGTATCATCAGGGAGTCCAACTGGGCAAGGGCACCATCCCAGTTGCAAAATAATGGCTTCCCATAATCGTGGTGAAAGATCATGTACACTGTAGGCCTATTTTAGACTTTTACACATGTACGTGTAAGAAGGTATTGCCAGGTCACTTTGCACATTTTTGAGGTTTATGACCCATTGTTTTCCATTCTTTCTCCTCTGCAGGTGAGCAACGGTGCCTTCCCTTTGTCATGCTTTACCAGTTCTGTGGGGGGGTACTCACGAGGATGACAGGTGGAATTAGGACGTTACCCCTGGGAGTACTGTTTGTACTATCCCTCCAAATTGTTTGCCTGAGCTCATCCCCGAATGGGCCACGATCTGGGGATGGGTCCAAACCGGCAGTGTTCACCAACACGTACGCCGTCCACATCAGTGGTGGGATTGAAAAGGCCGATGAGCTCGCTGAAAAACATGGCTTTGTTAACCTAGGCAAGGTAAGAACATGTACATGCATTCTGGGATTGCTTTTGGAAAATTGTCTAGTGCTGCAAGTAGGTGCCAAGGAAACAAGATAAAATTAGATTTCCAGCGAATTGTGTTTTTGTTATTTTTCACGAAACAAGTTCAACTAAACTATGCTTTTGATGTGTCAGAAGAACCTTCAGCATTCTTTCCCAGGATGGCGCCCACGTGGCCAAAGGGGCGATCTTCTATCAGTCTTTTTCTAACGAATAATGGCATTTTGTTATTTGAGATTGGCGAACAACTTAGAGATCTGGCAAAATTCCATTGCAACGTATTTACACTACGACTTTGATCAAACCAAACGAAAGGCAAATTAGGCTACCGCTCGAACCAAATCTTGTCATGCGCTGGATCGCTGCACTGGCCCGCCTGGCAAAGTCAGTTTTCCCTCCGGAGTTGCCTTCGATCGAGCAGGAATCCGACTGTGATTAGCATCCAATCAAAAATCATTTTTCACAGCCATTTATGACATCGTTGACCTAATATGGAATGTAAGGGCGTGGCTATCGGAGATTGGCAAACTTAACCCTAACTGCCCAAAACCTGCCATACTCCAACAGCAGGTTTTCTG